AAAATGTAAAAGCTTGTCGGGGGAGTCAAATGTATTTTTTTAAGAATGTGAAACCTTCTCGGGGGTCCCAACTGTCTTTTTTAAAAATGTAAAACCTTCTCTGGGACTCCAAATGTATTTTATAAGAATGTAAAACCTTGTCGGGGGCTCTAAATGTATTTTGTTAAGAATGTGAATCCTTTTCGGGGCCCCCATTGCCTTTTTTAAAAATGTAAAGCCTTTTGGGGGGGGGGGGGGCAAATATGTTTTTTTGAGAATGTGAAACGTCCTCGGGGTCCCAACTGTTTTTTTTTTTAATGTAAAACCTTCTCTGGGGCCCCAAATGTATTTTGTAAAAATGTAAAACCTTGTCGGGGGCTTCAAATGTATTTTTTTAAGAATGTGAAACCTTCTCGGAGGCGTCAAATGTGTTGCTTTAGAATGTGAAAGCTTCTCGGGGGTCCCAACTGTCTTTTTTAAAAATGTAAAACCGTCTCTGGGACCCCAAATGTATTTTGTAAGAATGTAAAACCTTGTCGGGGGCCCCAAATGTATTTTGTTAAGAATGTGAATCCTTTTCGGGGTCTCCATTGCCTTATTAAAGAATGTAAAACCTTTTGGGGGGGGGGGGGGGGCAAATATATTTTTTTGAGAATGTGAAAGCTCCTCAGGGTCCCAACTGTTTTTTTAAAAATGTAAAACCTTCTCTGGGACCCCAAATGTATTTTGTAAGAATGTAAAACCTTGTCGAGGGCCCCAAATGTATTTTGTTAAGAATGTGAATCCTTTTCGGGCTCCCCATTGCCTTTTTAAAAAATGTAAAACTTTTTGGGGGGGGCAAATATATTTTTTTGAGAATGTGAAATCTCCTCGGGGTCCCAACTGTTTTTTTTTAAATGTAAAACCTTCTCTGGGGCCCCAAATGTATTTTGTAAAAATGTAAAACCTTGTCGGAGGCTTCAAATGTATTTTTTAAGAATGTGAAACCTTCTCGGAGGCGTCAAATGTATTTTTTTAGGAATGTGAATCCTTTTCGGGGTCTCCATTGCCTTTTTTAAAAATGTAAAACCTTTTGGGGGGGGGGGGGCAAATATATTTTTTTGTGAATGTGAAACCTCCTCGGGGTCCCAACTGTTTTTTTTTTAAATGTAAAACCTTCTCTGGGGCCCCAAATATATTTTGTAAAAATGTAAAACCTTTTGGAGGGGGCAAATATATTTTTTTGTGAATGTGAAACCTCCTCGGGGTCCCAACTGTTTTTTTTTTAATGTAAAACCTTCTCTGGGGCCCCAAATATATTTTGTAAAAATGTAAAACCTTGTCTGGGGCTTCAAATGTATTTTTTTTAAGAATGTGAAACCTTCTCGGAGGCGTCAAATGTGTTGCTTTAGAATGTGAAAGCTTCTCGGGGGTCCCAACTGTCTTTTTTAAAAATGTAAAACCTTCTCTGGGACCCCAAATGTATTTTGTAAAAATGTAAAACCTTGTCGGGGGCCCCAAATGTATTTTGTTAAGAATGTGAATCCTTTTCGGGGTCTCCATTGCCTTTTTTAAAAATGTAAAACCTTTTGGGGGGCGCAAATATATTTTTTTGAGAATGTGAAACCTCCTCGGGGTCCCAACTGTTTTTTTAAAAATGTAAAGCCTTCTCTGGGGCCCCAAATGTATTTTGTAAAAATGTAAAAGCTTGTCGGGGGAGTCAAATGTATTTTTTTAAGAATGTGAAACCTTCTCGGGGGTCCCAACTGTCTTTTTTAAAAATGTAAAACCTTCTCTGGGACTCCAAATGTATTTTATAAGAATGTAAAACCTTGTCGGGGGCTCTAAATGTATTTTGTTAAGAATGTGAATCCTTTTCGGGGCCCCCATTGCCTTTTTTAAAAATGTAAAGCCTTTTGGGGGGGGGGGGGGCAAATATGTTTTTTTGAGAATGTGAAACGTCCTCGGGGTCCCAACTGTTTTTTTTTTTAATGTAAAACCTTCTCTGGGGCCCCAAATGTATTTTGTAAAAATGTAAAACCTTGTCGGGGGCTTCAAATGTATTTTTTTAAGAATGTGAAACCTTCTCGGAGGCGTCAAATGTGTTGCTTTAGAATGTGAAAGCTTCTCGGGGGTCCCAACTGTCTTTTTTAAAAATGTAAAACCGTCTCTGGGACCCCAAATGTATTTTGTAAGAATGTAAAACCTTGTCGGGGGCCCCAAATGTATTTTGTTAAGAATGTGAATCCTTTTCGGGGTCTCCATTGCCTTATTAAAGAATGTAAAACCTTTTGGGGGGGGGGGGGGCAAATATATTTTTTTGAGAATGTGAAAGCTCCTCAGGGTCCCAACTGTTTTTTTAAAAATGTAAAACCTTCTCTGGGACCCCAAATGTATTTTGTAAGAATGTAAAACCTTGTCGAGGGCCCCAAATGTATTTTGTTAAGAATGTGAATCCTTTTCGGGCTCCCCATTGCCTTTTTAAAAAATGTAAAACTTTTTGGGGGGGGCAAATATATTTTTTTGAGAATGTGAAATCTCCTCGGGGTCCCAACTGTTTTTTTTTAAATGTAAAACCTTCTCTGGGGCCCCAAATGTATTTTGTAAAAATGTAAAACCTTGTCGGAGGCTTCAAATGTATTTTTTAAGAATGTGAAACCTTCTCGGAGGCGTCAAATGTATTTTTTTAGGAATGTGAATCCTTTTCGGGGTCTCCATTGCCTTTTTTAAAAATGTAAAACCTTTTGGGGGACGCAAATATATTTTTTTGAGAATGTGAAACCTCCTCGGGGTCCCAACTGTTTTTTTTTCAATGTAAAGCCTTCTCTGGGGCCCCAAATGTATTTTGTAAAAATGTAAAACTTCTCGGGGGAGTCAAATGTATTTTTTTAAGAATGTGAAACCTTTTCGGGGGTCCCAACTGTCTTTTTTAAAAATGTAAAACCTTCTCTGGGACTCCAAATGTATTTTATAAGAATGTAAAACCTTGTCGGGGGCCCTAAATGTATTTTGTTAAGAATGTGAATCCTTTTCGGGGTCCCCATTGTCTTTTTTAAAAATGTAAAACCTTTTGGGGGGGGGGGGCAAATATGTTTTTTTGAGAATGTGAAACGTCCTCGGGGTCCCAACTCTTTTTTTTTTAATGTAAAACCTTCTCTGGGGCCCCAAATGTATTTTGTAAAAATGTAACACCTTGTCGGGGGCTTCAAATGTATTTTTTTAAGAATGTGAAACCTTCTCGGAGGCGTCAAATGTGTTGCTTTAGAATGTGAAAGCTTCTCGGGGGTCCCAACTGTCTTTTTTAAAAATGTAAAACCGTCTCTGGGACCCCAAATGTATTTTGTAAGAATGTAAAACCTTGTCGGGGGCCCCAAATGTATTTTGTTAAGAATGTGAATCCTTTTCGGGGTCCCCATTGCCTTTTTTAAAAATGTAAAACCTTTTGGGGGGGGGGCAAATATGTTTTTTTGAGAATGTGAAACGTCCTCGGGGTCCCAACTCTTTTTTTTTTAATGTAAAACCTTCTCTGGGGCCCCAAATGTATTTTGTAAAAATGTAAAACCTTGTCGGAGGCTTCAAATGTATTTTTTTAAGAATGTGAAACCTTCTCGGAGGCGTCAAATGTGTTGCTTTAGAATGTGAAAGCTTCTCGAGGGTCCCAGGTGTCTTTTTTAAAAATGTAAAACCTTCTCTGGGACCCCAAATGTATTTTGTAAGAATGTAAAACCTTGTCGGGGGCCCCAAATGTATTTTTTTAAGAATGTGAAGCCTTCTCGGGATCCCCATTGTTTTTTTTTTATGTATAACCTCCTCGGGGGCGTCAAGTGTGTTGTTTTAGAATGTGAAAGATTCTCGGGGGGGTCCCAAGTGCCTTTTTTAAAAATGTAAAACCTTCTCGGGGACCCCAAATATCCTTTTTTAAACAAGGCGAAACCTTCTCGGGGGCCCCAAGTGCCTTTTTTTAAGAATATTAAATCTTCTCGGGGCTCCAAACTGTCTATCTGTCTATTGAAAAACTGTTTAGTTTACTTTGGATGTGATTGTCATCTCATATTCTGCGGAAAATTATTTTCACCGCTAACCGTTTTCTGCCACGTGATTCATCTAACTGCACCTTTGGAGCTCTAGAGCATCCAGACAAGTTTATATTTAGATACTGCTGGGCCCAAACTACTGCTACTTTAGACAATTTCTCGTATTTATAGCTTTATCTTTAGCTTAATAATAATTTAAGTATTATTGTGGAATTTTAAACTTCAAATGTTACAATCCGACAAGTACCAACCACCATAAATTTCCCAAAATTTTTATAATTCCGATTTTTAGTTTAAAATTGAAAACAAGTGTGAGATAGAAAATAAAACATTCGTACTCTAAAATAACGTCTTATGAAACTTGTTTTTTAATAGCATTACAAGTTGTCGGCACACTCTGTACTTCGATTTATATTTATTCGACAAAAACAAAACTGGAATTACTATAAATATCAGGTTCAAAGACTAAGGACTTTTGATGTAACCATTTAATTACTTTCCGTATGCCGGTCATTAAAAATTAGCAAATATTGGTAGTGATATAACAACCAAATGATCTACGCTGTAGAAACTCATATGCACAGAAAATAAAAGAGTAATTACCTTTGCAACCAACCAATAAGTAATCACATCTCGATTGTTTCCAGATAAAATTAAAGGCCATAGCAGCGATTAATTCATTACAAATTATGGCAATAATGACGTGATTTTCGACTGCCATTACGATGATTACCACATTCCCGGATGCTGCAAATATTAGCAAATAATTATGAAAAGAAAAAGCGCAACAACAGGTAAAGCATTTATCTTAAATGAGAGAGAGTTTATTACGTACTTTTTTTCCAGAAATGAGCATAATTATCGCGCATACATTACCCGTCTGGTTTAACGACGTCATTATGCGACATTACCATAACGACTGTATCTGCCTTTAGTTTTTATTTCACCCAAAAACTTGCCCATATATCCTCACTCAACCTTGAATTCCACTCAACAAGACACACACGCTAAGTTTTCGTATACTTTTATTAAAAACAAATCACAATTCTTCATGTACAACAACAGGTGGGGCCACGTAGTTGTAGAGATCATTAGGAAGAGTAGCATTGTACAGTTGTGTCGCTAAAGACCAATATCGTTTGCGCAAGTGGTGGGCGCTAGCTTTAGGTTGGCGGCTTCTCGTGAAAATACCCTTTTTGTTTCCGCCAACTCTTGTGAAAGCTAAAAAAAATAAAAGTAATGAATGACGAATGATTGCATGGACTCACTTTGGGCCGTTTTAAAATCAGCAAAATTCCAGATAAATTCACCGATAAAGAACCCTCTTGTTCGCAGTTGATCGAAAGCTTGGAAGTGTTTTGACATTAAATTGACTTGGTACTCTTCGGACCAAATGAAATCGGGGGTCTGAAAAATACGGTTTGAAAAGTATTAGATATTCAGGTGGGTTCGTACGAAATGAAGGCCTTCGAGAGTATCTCCTCCGTACTCTTGCATGATCACCGGTTTGTTGAATTTTTCATGCCACGCAGTAGCTTCCGCGACCACACTCAATGGAATTACGTCTAAATTGCCCCCGTTGACGTACCATCCGTTGTATCTATTAAAACTGATAATGTCCACAAATTGTGACTAAAATTGTCGTTTTAGACTGGAAACTACGCAAAAGGGGGACTTACAGAGTACACGCTATTGACAGGTTGTGCTTCTACAATCGTCGTCGGTCGAGTAATGTCAAGACTTTTGATATGGTTAATCACTTCTTTAAAATATCCTAGTGCTTGTGGATACTGCGTTCTTGGTTCGTTAGCAGCCGACCAAATAATCACGCTTGGTCTATTCTTATCCCTCTTGATTAACTCAGTCAAGGAGTTCTTGTGTTTAATCAACAACGAGTCATAGAAGGCCTCCGTATCCACACTAGGACACTCATCGATAATCATAATCCCAAACTCGTCAGCCAAATCCATTATCTCTTCAGCGTATGGATAGTGTGAGGTACGATAAGCATTGGCCCCGACCCATCTGATCAAATTGTAGTCCCGTATTATCAAAGGTAAATCCAAACCTTTCCCTCTTATATCCGAGTCTTCGTGGCGACCAAAACCGTGAAGATACACAGGGCGGTTATTAATCAAAAGCGACGTGTTAGTCCAGGCTATAGATCGGATACCAATCGGTTGACTATACTTGTCGATCAAATCACGGTGTTCGCTTAACAATTCCACTTGTAAAGTGTACAAATAACCTGGATTGGGGTCCATCAAGTAAGGCCACCAAAAATTCGCCTTTGGGACTTCCAGAATTCCGTAAGGCTCGTCGCGTTCGTCACTTTTGGCCACTACGTTACCTTTTTTGTCGATAAGGCTGACCCGACAAGTGACATTAACGTCGCTTATGTAACTTATTCTATAATCTACGAAGCCTGAAATGAAATCGTGATCACACTAATTTATTTCCAGTGGAAATTCATACCTACGTCGCCATCTGTCTCAGTGGCAACTGTAATATCATCTATGTAGTTCTTTGGTGTGGTGTACAGCGTTACAGGTCTATCGATGCCTGCGTAATTAAAAAAATCAAAATTGTAAGTCTGCACCAGTCTTCCCGTTTCTAGTGTATCTACTTTGCCTTGAGGAACCGTGTCGGCTAAGAGAGTGTTGTCACAGGCTACCGTTACCAAATTTTCTTTGCCATAGATGAGAAAATCGGTGACTTCTGCCAAAAACGGTAGGTGCCCGATTTCGTGACCCATAACCAAGCGGCCGTTAATCCACTGGAAGACTTTAACACGAGAAAGACACTACAGGTGGTACTACTCACCACTTGAGACGCGTAAGACACCGACCCGAACCTCAACCAAACCCTACCGATTTGGTACCAGGATTTCGGCACGAAGAATTTCCGGTCGTACCACACCAACCCGACGTGGTCCCGTATTTTCCAGTTGGTAGTGATATCGTTGTAGCTGCTTGGCACTGGCATGATGTGCACTTCAACATCTGTTAACTAGGAAATTGTTACCAAGGAGCTTTGGTATGAGTGGAGGTTACCTCTTTCAGGTTCTTTTTGTACCAGTGTTCGTCAAAGCCTTGGAGAGGACGGTTGGGTTGAGGTACCACGAAATTCCAAAGACCATCCAAAGAGACCACCTGGCGAGTTTCGGACGGACGAGGGTACAAAATGCCGCCGTGATAAGTTTCAGATTTGACTTGCAGGAAGAGGGATAGAATCAGAAATCTTGTGTTCATGTTGTGGTCTCTGATAAAGATTGAAATTAGTTTCAAGTGGGAGATGACAATAAAATCACACGTGTGTGATTATCGTACGGAAATGAAGTCACACGTGTGTCACTATCGCAAATCCGTAGCTCAATTAAAAATTTTCTGATTAGAGTATGACAGGAAATTTCTCCCCTGTCTTTAATTAATCAGATTGTTATCTTATCTGTTCTTAAGTATTTCTTGACCACAGAACATCCTCGTTAGCGGCACGTGCTAGGTTTTATTGCTTATTTATGTGTTTACCTATCAATATAAATGATTATGCGAATCACACGTGTGGTTTTAGATAACTCCCGGAAAAAAAATGTTTCCTTAATTGTAGCCATTATCACGTTTGAAAGCACTCTTTCCATTGCTTAATACACGGCAACACTTCTTTTAGGCAATTTGTACATAGTCCTCGTTTCAAAACAACGATATTATGATAATAACCGCAAACCAAACAGACCCGAAGGGCGAAAAACTTAGGCCAAGGCGTATACGCTCAGTAATTCTTTTAACAATTAATCTTTGACCAATTAAATGTTTTGTGGTTTAACGGGTTTAACCGGTGCATTAAAATGATTACAAGGAGAATGGGTAGTTTTTGCTATATTGTGATAAAAATCAACACTAGACGCTTTTTCGAATTTTTAATAACGACACGTTTTCCTGGACAATTATATTTTACGGGGATTTGTAATGCATGTAAAATGTCAAACGGGTGCCCAACCTTGTGTACGTTGAAAAAAATCAAGTTCGAGGTCACTTTCGGAAGCAAATCTTATACAAAAACATCAGTTCATTGAATTGTTGATAATTGTATGACATCATGACTAGATCACTTCGAACAGTTTGTGCAGACAAATCCGTTTCAAGTAGGGCCGTCTTGATCTAAAATTCAGCTACCCGACTATTATGGATTCGATGAGATCATTTTATTCTCATGTAAAGGAAAATTATATACTGAGGAGGCAATCAATCGTACAGTGATCCGAATAAATCGTGTAGATGACCCTTTTGACAATACTAGCGGTAATTTTTGACATTAATTCCATTTTATAGCAAAGCTTAAAAAAGTACACCACCAGTTGCCCACTGTCTTATATTTATGATCTATATCGTGCAACAAGTGCCATTTGACATTTATTCCAACTCCGAAATTTATAGCAGGCGTAAATCAAGTCTTGGATTTCCGTATACAACTAAATATGAATAACTGAATAAAATATTTACCTAATTTTTGTTTTTTTTTCGAAAATTGCCAAGTTTGGACACCACCAAAACACACTCTTTACGCCAACATAAACAAGAATTTGTATGGTAATTATAAACAAAACACACTAAACACCTGATCTTGTACTATTCAGCACACATGTGCTTAACAAAATGCCTTTCTAATCGTAAGCACTGCTTATTTATATTCGCGCCAAAGTCACGGAACATAAAGTATAAACAAATATCCCGACCGATAACACCACAGTGCCGTTAAGAATAAATCACTATGATGTTAAAAATCAATCACAATTAAAAATTTTGTATTCCTGTGTGTGGGGAGCGCTGCATTCAGGATCCCCCCACGTTCATTACTCACCTACACACCTCTTATCTTGGTGGATGCGTGAGAAAAATCGGACAAAGATTAATTCATATCGGTGCAGAAACGCCAATTTTACGGTATTGCAACTACATTTACGAGTGCAATTTGAATGTGAATGTACAAAAAGGCCATTTAGGAGCGTCCGATAGCGCTGGAGGTTTGAGTGTTTCGCCCGGAAATGGAGGCAATTTTTGTTTGGTTAACGAAACTGTGAACAATCCAATTTTCCTTTTATTTGTTATAAAAAATGTTGTGTTCGTGTAAACGACGACATTTATGGTATGTTACATACAATTTTCGAGCAAATTTTAAAGTCAATTTTAACTACAGAATGCATTCGTTTTACAAGAATGAAACTCTTTGTATGGGTATTCTGTATGATCGAATTTCCGTGTAGTTGAGTGGAATTAAAAATTGTATCCTTCAGTCGAGATGAAACACCTGTAATATTAATAGAATCTACGGTATAGTCGCTGCAATAATTTTAGAATTTAATAATATATCAGCGCTGAAAGAAATAACTTTTAGTTTCCTGCTACTCGACCGTAAGTCTGTCTGTCATATCTCCGTTTGTTTATCTATTGACCATTTTATCTGACAGTTACTTCTAGATGTATTTTCTGCGTACTGTCTAAATTTCAAATTTGTTGTTCGTCCCCAACAAAAATTTAATGACGTCATCTTAAAATTTTGCAAGTAAAACCAATTTAAAATGTGCAGATTATACAAAACCAATTCGTTCGTCCCTTTCAAAAAATTGATGACGTCGTTGTAGAATACGATTTTTCTTAATTCGTTATTGTTTTTAAATTTACGCACCTATAGGTTTTTGAAAAAAGTAAAATTTTACAACACAACTTTTATCAATTCATCCCCTCCAAAAATTAATGACGTCATCGCAAAATGTTGCAAAGTAAATCTCATTTGAAATATGTAAATTTTCGGAAAAAATTCAAACTTTTTGTATGATTATATTGATTATCATAATGAAAAAATATCTAAATGATTAAGGTAAAAAATCAAATCATAAAATGCTATTCTATACAATTTAAATAGGATTAACCATGTAAAATTTTGAGGCGACGTCGTCAAATTATTGGTGGGGATGATTGGATAAATTTGGGTTGACAGGCAACAGGCAGGCGGAATCATGAAACCTGGAGAAAACATGAAAGTAACCGTTCACCGCATGGACCCCATTACAATACTTCCTTAGTTTACTTTCGAGAATTACAAGAAAAATCAAATTTATGTAAGAAACTGGGCTTCATTTAAATCTTTTAAAATTGATTTAATGATTACAAAGGATTAATAATTTAATTTAATAAATCTCGTTATCTGACAATTTTGTTGAGTTAATCCTACGTGAAATGCGTAGAATATTATGCTCCTTTATTTGTGGCTTAGTAATTCACCCTTACTCCTAATTTATTCAATAATACGATTTTGTTTTATTAATACTTTTCGATAGTACATCGGTAGAAGCTGTTTTTTACAATCTTGTCATCAACTTTTTGGTGGGGATAAATGTATATATTTTTACTTCCTGATGGAAAGCGATGTCATTTGCCAAAATCAGTCGTATCTTATGAAGTACTATCCCTCTAAGAAAATAGGGGGTGGGTGGGCGGGGCTAGTATTTGCTAAGATAAGACTGAACAATATCAAGAATAGTCACTCGAATGAAGAAGATGTGTAGAAAAAACTAAACCCAGACCCCCCCCCCCTCCCAACTCTTTTCTCCATTTCACTTATACATGTAAAGTGAGGAGAGGGAGACGTAGGTTCGAATCCCACTCAGACCGTGACATTTTTCCATACGTCCACAACTTCAACTGTTTATGTTCATTCATTGAAAGGATTCGACGATTAAGCACGTATAAAATTCGGTGTAAAATGTTTATTTTTTTGCGAAAATTTTGATGCCTCGGGGACAATATCAAGGCGGATTCATAAACAATAACTATAGGAGTATGTTATTTTATAGAAATTAAGTCCTACTTGCTTTAGAGAGTATGTTATCCCATTGTTGATGGGCATGATTAGGCAAATTTTGATTAGCGTTAAATATCTACAAAATATTCCTAAAATACACATAAAATTTGACCACAATTATTCTGGTAGTTTTGTGAATCGATACAAACAGTGGACAGACAGACACAGAGACGAAAACAGGAGACGTAATTTTTCGTACTCTAGGGATCATGAAAAGTCGAGAAAACATTAAAGTAGTCAGTTACCCGATGGACCCTATTACAATACTAGCCTTAGCTCGGAAAGTAAAAAGGGTTACTACACTAAAATTATTTTCAACTGTGTAGAGTGTTCTGTTTTTAAGACGTATCACACAAATGAGTTTTTTAAATGGAATACCCAATATATTTTTACATATTGTTACGAAATACACCCTTACGCCGCCTCGGTACGACACCTATGGCCGTCGAGAACTCTCTAGTCTTACGTCGGTGATGATTCATCCTCAATGCGACTGAGCGACGGAGTGCTAAAGAAACGCCTGGAACCGGAAGTCGCGAATGGGGATTCCGGAGAAGTCTAGAAGCGGTGACGTAGGGTTTCGAGAAGAACCGCGGACTGTTTAAATAAAAAAAGTCCACCTCTGGGGAACGGATTATTCAACTATTTGAGTTAAGAGCGTCCAGTGAAATTCGCCGTAATAAGTTTTGTACATAATTGCTGCAATAGTTAGTCGTGTAAATTCGAGTTATTAAGAAATCAATTGTTGAGTTTTAACCTACGCCGATTTTATTCGTCTGCTCATCGTAACAATATTCTTCCTGGCCTTGTAATAATAAAAAATGATTTTGAAATTACATTGCGACGTTGACAAGAATTGAATATTAACATTTATTTAATTAAAAATAAAAAAAAAATCTCGAACAAAATTTTTCATGGGTAAAGTTCTTTGCCATCTTTTTTTTTGAAAATTTTTAGCAATTGAAAGATTGAGAAAAAAATATTTTAGGGAAAGCTAAATAAAGGTACGCACTTTGTTGCGGTATAAATAAAATTTATACGGAATGTTTATAAATATTTTTACTTCCCGAGCGTAAGCAAAGGAAGTATTGTAATCGAGTCCGTCGGCCGACTCTCTACTTTTACGTTTTCTCGATCTTTCATGACCCCTAGAAGACGAAGAAATAGGTCTCCCATTTCCGTCTGTCTGTCCGTCTGTCCGTCTGTCCGTCTGTCCGTCCGTCTGTCCGTCTGTCCGTCTGTCCGTCTGTCCGTCTGTCCGTCCGTCTGTCCGTCTGTCCGTCTGTCCGTCCGTCTGTCCGTCTGTCCGTCCGTCTGTCCGTCTGTTGTCCCGGATTTTTATTAGACAGATAATCTCCGAAAGTACTCGACCGATTGTTGTGAAATTTTGTACTTATATTAAGAATATCATGTAGATGGTAAAACGCTAACCAAAATTTGTCTAATCATCCCCACCACTAATGCGATGACGTCACTTCAAAATTGTACATAGTAAATGGGTTTTCAATTGTATAAAATAACATAGTCCTACACATGTAGTTTACAACTCCGAATCGACTTTTCACCCGAAACGTCCAGATTTTTGGAAAAAAAATCAAAATTATAAAACAACATTTTGAAATTTAATTTTTAATCTGCTAACCAGAATGCTTTGAAATGTTGTAGATGTTTTAAGGCTATAAAGAGCATCATAAATCTTTAGTCAAAAAATATTTGCTTATCCCCTCCAAAAACTTGATGACGTCAGCTCAAAAGTTTGTGGAATAAATCATATCTAAAATGTACAAAATATGATGAGTCTGTACTTGTGATCTATCACTCCATTCATATTTTTTGGATTTGCATATACAGGGTGACTCAAAAAAATTAATGAATGCGTAAATTTATTTTACTGATTTACTCAGAAACTACAAAACCGAATGCTTTGAAATCTTGCAGATGTTTTAAGGTTCTAAAGAGCATAATAAATGTTTAGTCAAAATATATTTGCTTATCCCCTCCAAAAAATTGATGACGTCAGCTCGAAAGTTTGCCGAATAAATCCTATCTAAACTGTAAAAATATGATGAGTCTGTACTTGTAATTTATCACTCCATTCATATTTTTTGGATTTGCATATACAGGGTGACTCAAAAAAATTAATGAATGCGTAAATATATTTTATTGATTTAATCAGGAACTACAAAACCGAATGCTCTGAAATCTTGCAGATGTTTTAAGGTCATAAAGAGCATAATAAATGTCTAGTCAAAATATATTTGCTTATCCCCTCCAAAAACTTGATGACGTCAGCTCGAAAGTTTGCCGAATAAATCATATCTAAAATGTACAAAATATGATGAGTCTGTACTTGTCATTTATCACTCCATTTATATTTTTTGGATTTGCATATACAGAGTGACTCAAAAAAATTAATGAATGCGTAAATATATTTTATTGATTTAATCAGGAACTACAAAACCAAATTCTTTGAAATCCACTGCGAAAAAAAAACATAATAGGCATGCAGTCGTCACGTTTCCGACAGCGAGGGAAGTACTGTCTAAACTCTTTAGACCAATTTTTTTAATTGTTACGATTTTGAAATATCAAAATTTCAGTTTTTTCCAGTATTTTATTATTGCTTATTCTGTTTTTGATTTTTTATCCTTTTTGTTAAGTATTTCTGTATTTAAAGTTGACGTATTGAAAAAATAGAGTAAGATGCAATAATAAAATATGAGATGTTCTGTTTGAAACAACGGAAATATTGATATTTGAAAATTGTAACGTTATATTTTTTTTTATCAACACTCTGTATAATATAACTTAACATGATTGATACTGTAACAAAGTGCGTACGTACGTTTATCTTTACATAAAATGTTGCAACACAGATTTTAAAAA